ATTACAACTCCAATTGTAAGCAAACAGTATGACACTTAAGAGTAACAGTTGTCACTGTATCTAAGTGTTTGAGGGTATGGGTTTAGTATGTGGCTCAAAGAAACACTAGGTGAACTACTTTATCATTAAAGATTGCATGCTGATTAGAATTGTGCATCTGAGCACTGCATTCTTTGAAGCCCTACTTGAAAAACTGCAATTAAAAACGATATTGATCGCAAAGAACGACGTGATATATCTCTGCTTGGGGCAGAACTAGTTTCAGGACACCGTTTCCAGAAACGTATGAAAAATATTTAATTACAGTTGTAGGGAACAAGTGACATCGTTAACATTCTGAATACTATTCATGTTTGATATATGATCATATACGTCAACGGGAACATGGTCGTCAGTTTCATTGAAGTGTTGCCTTTAGAGTGTTGACAGCAATTGTGTTTAAGTACATTGTAATACCTCGCCTGACATCAATACGTTGATCAGTGGAAATCCTGGTCGTGGTCCTCATGTACTCATCAGTAGGATTTTCCGTATGTATTCATGTGAATGGATGTTATTGTTATGGGCAATACTTACAGAATTAAATTGGACTGCACCAAATCAGATTGTGAAACATGTCTGTGAAGAAAACATCCACTGAATGTAAAATTCCATGTGAAACATTGGAGATATGGTAATAAATTGAATTGCCGATGTGATACATGCAATCATGAACTCCATGTCAACCGATTTATAACATTTATAACATTTGGGGTGTACGTAAAGATACATATCCACCCACCCCATCCATGTGTTCTTCACTGTAGCTCAAAATGAAATAAAAATACATGATCGTTGCACTCATAGCCATGTGAATTATGAATATCCGTTATGATCCGAGTTAGAATTGATCTTCAGCAACTCATGCTTGTCGTAAGCGTTGACGCTTGTCATCGTATCCCAATTGTGTAAATTGATGCTTATGCTGTTGTTCACTGAACTGTCTGATCCCGACTCGATTATTTACAGACCGTGGCTAAATATTGCAATATTGTGCGGCGTAAACCAACACACACACACACACGCACACACACACACACACGCACGCACGCACACGCACGCACGCACGCACGCACACACACACACACTGTTAAACCCATGATGCGTGCTGGCTCTCATTGTTAGTGAGCAATATGCTGTCATATACAATATTCCCCAACTTCGAACAGAACGCAGATAACCAAACAAAGGAAAGAATGTCATGAAAACATAATATACGTCACGCCACAAGTGCTCTTTCACTTTGATATATAGCTTGTCTCAGTTGTGTAAGACTGCTAATGTCAGAAATGGTGCTTTGACACATGTCCAACTAATGTTCGGCTCGTGTGCTTTGTGACATTCACGACAACGAGCAGGTTCCAATTAGATATGTCTACAAGCTTTAATGATGGTGTTTTGACACATGTACAACTAACGAGGGGCCACCATAGGAAGATGGATATTATTCTCTTGTATAATAAGGAAAGAGGATACACAGGTATGGTGTAAATGCCATCAATCATCATTTTCATTACCTACCAAGTTCAGAAAGTTGATGTAATCGACATTGGTGTATAGGTCATGGTTTAGAACAGAGTGCATATATCTAATCTATGTTTGGAAAGGAGAAATTTACAGGCGTAAACACTATTTACTTCTTAACTGGAGTGAGTGAGCTGGGTTTAATGTCGCCTTTATTAGACCAGGTTATATACAAGATACATGTATATATGATAATGGGATAACAATAACAGAGATGGAATAACAAGGCATTAAAGAAAGTTACATATGCTAGGAGACTTCGATCATCCATAAAGTTTGTCATCAATATACCACCAACTTCTAGGATGCCACTCAAACAAATGACATTGTTGTTTCACCTTTACTACTTTTTGGAAAAACCCGCGTATCGATACAAACCTAGAAACATATTGGGGTGAACTGGGACTCGAACCCACAATTATAGAGTTTTTGCGTGTCGAAGGGAATCATTTGTGTACATTACAAATCAAGCATGATTTGCGCTATTAAATATATCATTTTTAAATAGTTGATAGAGTTTGATCATGTTTCGGTGGGTTAAAGAAAATAACGAATGTATTTTTAACAGTCTAAAACAGCATAGTGGTAATACATGACGCAAGGTCCCCCAGTGTCCTGATTGCCTTATAATTCTACCACGGGGGCGGTGTTGAAACCTCATGGATAAAGCATCCGCTCGTGTCGCTGAAGACCCGGGTTCGATTCCCCACATAGGTACGATGTGTGAAACCCATTTCTTTTGTCCCTCCCTGTGTAATGCTGAAATATTACTAAAAGCGGCGTAAGACCATACTCACTCACTGATTATTCTATCATGATAATGACAATGAAATTATTTGTCATTGCGCTTCTGATGTTTTCATTTAGCTGTGAAAATGTGCACTAATGTTTATTTGTGTAGTTTCGAAAACCTGAATCGCGTCATCCTAACCACCAGAATTCAATTTCACTCCCACAGGGAAGCACGTGACTGTACTTTGAATCTTTGAATCTTTGAATCTTTGAAGACATTTCCTTCCATGAATATATGTCTATTACACATCCAGTGTATTGCTGGCTGCGGGATATTCAACAATTCTCCCAGAGTGATGGATCGTGACTTACTGCTGAGAGTCGACACGGAGGTTCATGCTTGCAAGCACTTGCCTATTCAGCGGGTGACGTTCGTAATCCATTAAGGTCAAATCACTGCCTTTCAATAGAATTGCTCGACGAAAGATTTCGTAAATTTCCTCCATTGTATTCCTAGTTCCATTCCGAAATACCCATTTGAGATTAAGATGGAAGGAAAATCAATTTATATTTTACGTCCGATTGCTAGAAGCATTTATCTCAGACGATGTTTGAATTTATCTGCGTCACTTCATTAAGGTTTCCAATATTGTATATTTCTGTAATGCTGCACATGGATTGATAAAGTCTCGTCAGATCTCTAAAGTTTCTCATTTTATGTAACATCACGTTTGTTACCTACTTTATTCTTTCAGACAATTTTCTAAATGTAGCGAGTCTTCCAACCTTCCACACCTAAGGTCATGTTCATGTTTATGTACATCCGACCTGAAGCCACTATACAATTTTTGAAATAATGACAAATCATTTACTTTAATCTGCAAACTGACCAACATACGCTTTCAAAGAAAACTTGATGGGAGACGCAAATAATTATCACAGACAATTTCAGTCTGTCAATAGAGGTGCAATATCATCTATTCTCATGTGAATACACAATATATTCGGTGCATTGTCTTTACTCTTTTTATACACCCTACTTTACGTTGATATTAAATGTCTCCTCCGCCAGGATTTTCGTAGGCTGCAAAACTAATACAAGAATAATAGAACATTTACACGAAATTTGGAATTACAGTTTAAAAAGAATTGAAATGGTCTCCACATTTATATGTTGTAAACATAGTATGTTTATCTCCGTCAGTGTTATGTGTGTTATAAACTGGAAATAGAAAACGGAAAGGTTCCTAGATGGGTTTTCACGGCAGTCACGGGGGCATATACAACAACGTATTATGATACATTCTGGTAAATATGACAGATGCATTTGTCCAAATGAAAAGTGTTCAGAACAAATCCACGATTTGAACAGCATTGATAGTTTTGAAACTGTAATTTGCATTCATTTCAATCCGTTTATGTATGACTTGTGACTGAAATCCTGAAATGATTGTTGATAGTAATATTAACAATAATAAATATATTTGCTTGTGTGTTTGTTGCTAAACAATATCAACACTATTCTAACTATATGGCGGCGGTCTGTAAATAATCGCGTCTTGACCAGACAGCAATGTTCAACAGAATGAGCATCGATCTACGCACACGAACATATTTATATATGACGACAGTTGGTTATCTCTTTTAAACACATGTTTATATTATTAGACATACTTATAGGCTGTATTTGAAGTGTTTTTGAGTGAGAATAACAACAAAAGTATCAGGCCACATAAAAGAGGTGTCACAAAAGTGCGTGGTGAAAGGGAATGCCATCTGTACCCCAGTCAGCAGTTCAGTTCATTCATCTCTTGGGTAGTATGCAGCCCAAAGTAAGGTCTAAAGTATTTGGTATACACGTATAGTCACAGCTTCCTGCATTGATCATATGCAGATACCAGTGGCAACAGATCTTGGTAGTTTTATTTGTAACCCTTTAGTTGAAGTGACACATATGGCACTACAAAGCATTGTGCCTCCCACTTGCCTTCAGGATATTTTACTTTGTTTCTATATTACTCCACTTGACGTGGTGTTGGTGCATTCTGATAATGCTGGAGTTATGATCCTTCAATGGCCTGATAATTCAGATAGAAAAGAGATTTTACGGACATTCTATCGCTGTTACAAATGAGGAGGTAAAAGTCCGAGAAAAAAGCCTTTACCTCATCTTTGATAGACTCAACTTGACGTCTGACAACCGGATCAGCATTTCTCCATCAAGTACCTGAAGATAATCTTTCAGAACGTCATTTTGGCATTAGTCAAGACTAAACACGGGGCTGAGCACAATCGTTCAGAGCCTCGAGGGTGAATCTTGCAATCCAGTTGTTGAGTCCTCAGTAGCCAGTTCCCTTAATTGGCATCAGGATGTTTCTCTCATTATTGGCACTGTAACTACGTCGGATTGCCACTTGAAAGCTGTTATTTCCAACATATTTGTACTGATAGCTACGTTGAGTGACAGACCGAAGCCTTCTATTTGATTCATTCTGAAACTGAGAAAAATGAGTACCAAAGTGTTTCCGCTTTTTTGTTGTTGTATAAGAGCGCCAGGAACGCCCGAGGTTATGATAAAGAAGACATGTAACGGTAAAAGGTGCTAACAGGTCAAGGGTGATAAAATGGTTGATTATAGGAATTCAATTTACCCAGCGCATCAGGATGATACCTCGAGACTAGGATACGATTATTCAAAGATGTAGATACGTATGCTTTTCCTCGCATTTCAAACTAACCAGAATCGTAGTTAATCATTTATTTACATTGTATTGCCCTGACATTGGCAATGTCAGCATCAGTTTATTGATCTTGCAGTAATTGTATTGTCCCGTTTCGAAGGAAATCTGGTGTGGTACGTTGTGTATTTTTTTTCATATTTGAACAATAAAAGCTTATGCGTCTGGCTAGCAATCATTTGAGTGAACCGTGGTTGTATATAACGATTGAAAAAGAAAGAAATCAGACAAATTCAAAGTTGAATACAATCTTTCTGCTTACACAAATACACGTCATACACATATGCTCAGCTCCATCTTATAGTTTCTCAACAATGTTTTTCACTGTCAAGGACGTTTCCACAATATTCTTCTTTGTCGGTAAGTGAAACATCCACATTCTTTATAATGTTGTCTACACAGACGAATGACAAATAGCTCATCTCATTACATATGTATATGAATTATTTACACTACATCGGATCCACTACAGCCAGCCAGTATTGCTACATTGATGCCTGTTGTCAAAGGGCGGACGTGGATGTTAAACTGCATATCCTTCACGTTGGCCAGTCGTCAATCATATCACTGATGTGATTGGTTAAGATACCAGAACTGTTATGCGGAGAGACTTTAATGAAGTAAATAGATTGATTTATTGAAATGACAAGAAAATTACACGTTTTGTTAGGTTTCTTTCCTTATTTACAAAGCTACAGACTGATCAGACAGCCGTTGTTCCAACTATTTTCTCAACGTCCATGCATGCATGAGAGTATAGCCACAATATCAATAGCAGTAATTATCTGCTTTACGAATACACTCGCGTGGAATTCGCCGTTAAGAAGCGGAGCTAATGTGAAAACGTCGTGAATAGTGCCTGTAAGTCATCCAAGTAACTCCCAGAACTGTTCTACGACATTAATGACATGGCCAATACATACAGTTACCTACCGACTAAAAAACAAGAAACCATGTTCAAGTGCTAAGGAGAGGAATTATGAGAGAAGAAAAACAATTTAAAGTCCTTCGCTGTTTTTGTAACATAATGTTGATGCTCATGCCGAATGTTTAGTGGTATTGTCTTTAGTTTTAGAGGCGCAGTGACTGGAAATTAAAGACAATATGGGAGAAACATATATAACGTATAACATACTTAACATGTACAAATTGTATAACTTATGTAATGTATCATATGGAAACTACTAAAGAATATTATACCAGATGGTCAGTTATTTCACATCCCCAGTTGTTTGCCACTGACTTTCTAGCAGGATGTGAACAGTTGTTTTCTCTCGTGGAAACATGGTGGAGGTGATGCCTAATTTACCACAATGACCCATTCTGAAATTCAAAGCCGAGGTCCCCTGCAGGTTTTTATGAAGGGAATGTTCAACAGAAAACAGTTTACGTTTAATGTTGAGCGAGCTAGTGTCAGGGGAATAATAGGTTTAAACGGAGGCCTAGGACATATGGCAGATTTACTGCGACATGTAACACCTATACTGCTGAGTGAGGAGTGATTCATCCTGCTTGATGAGCAGCATTACATGGGTGGCGGCAGATATGTGCTTTATGGATTCTACCACCAGAGAAACGATACCTAAGTCTTAGGGCAAATGTTTTTGCCTCCAGGCCACTTCGCCACATGAACGTTGAGAGCATGGCATACCAAATCATACTTACAACTTGTCTGAATGAAACGATGGGCCCTCATTGTAGATGCACTGCACCCGCCGGGGAGGTAGATATGGTAGTAACAGGTAAGCCTGTGGTAGTACTTGTACCTTTGATCACGATAAACGAAGGACTTGGTGGTTTAGATAAGGTAACGTAGCTATTGTTACTGTACCTGAAGGTTAAAATGAAGCTGATAGTACATGCATATTTTACCTGGAAATATACATTTCAGCCAAGTCTTGAATGCTGTTTGAATGTTGACATGGTTTTTGTTTTTCTCTCAGTGTGCTTGTGTCACTGCAATTGTGATACCCATCCAGCTGTATGTTCAGATGAACAGCTGTTAATGGGGATGATGAAATGACAAATGTAGCTGTAGTGGTAGATATTTCAAGCATTTTGGACATTCACATCTTATCTTGTTCCCATCAATCCCATCTATATCTTAACCGTTTAGATCTAGGTTAGACTGGTCTTCAGCAACCCATTCTTGGTCGTAAGAGGTGATAGATGACAATTAATTATGCACAACTTAAAATCATTTTGACCGTGTAATCCAACATAATACGAAATGTAAAATCAATCACCTTCAATCACCGACTGACGGCAGGATTGTTGACCTGCTAACTTGCATTGAGCTCTCATGTTTCAAGGTCGTAAAAATTATGGACGCATAGTGACAACATTCATTCGGTCCCACTTGTTTAAGAACGTCAATATGAAATATCAGTTGTTGGAATGGAAGGTGGGATTTCACTGCTTACTCAGCGCTCGTGAGTCTTCTCTACCTTTGAAGCATGCTTAGAGGCTGTCTTTTCTTTTTCTTAAAAACTTAACACAAACGTTTCCGTTTTGGTGGTGTTTCATCTGCAGAGTATGTCGAACCAATTACAACTCCAATTGTAAGCAAACAGTATAGTACTTAGAGTGAGTGTTGCCACTGTTTTAAGTGTTTGATGGTATAGGGCTCGGTACGTAGCTCAAAGAAACGTTTGGTGAACTACGTTATGATTAAACCTTGCATGCTGATTAAAACTGTGCATCTGTGCACTACATTTATGCAACCTTCTTTGAAGCCCTCCTTGAAAGGTTGCACTTTAATATGATATTGATCGCGAAAAACGTCGTGATATATCTCTGTTACTGCTTGATGCATAACGAGTTTTAAGACACCGTTTCAGGAAACGTATGAAAAATATATGATTATAGATTCCCCACCGAATACTATCCATCTTTTGATCGAACGTCGAAGGAATTGGTTGTTAGTTTCATAGAAGTGTTCCCAAAATAGTGTTGACAGCAAACCTCATCAAGCACGAACGTATGATGTAATGTGTGTAACTACTAAATACATACCAACAAAAGTGACTGACTTATGGTAGGACCTATATTGGCATCAGTACACTAGTGAAAAAAATTGTGGAAGTTTGTAGTCTTTATATTCAATACTTACAGAATCAGATTGTGAAACATCCACTTAATGTTAAACTTCATTTTAAACATTTTGGTTATGGTAATAAATGGTATTGCTAAATTGGTACATATCTTAAATATTCTCTTCTGATTTAAAGGATTATTCCGCAATTCCAGATGCATGTACATATTTAGTAGTTCTTTTCATAAATCATATATCTGAATATACAAATTTATGAGGTATATGTAAAGAAAAATGAAAGAAAAACTGTGTTCTTGTGTGATTCAGTGTAGCTCAAAGCAGTGAAATAAGTTTCATTCACATTAAAATATGTGATCGGTGAGGACTCAAATATTTGCACTTATAACCATGTAAAGTATAAGTCAATACAGTTATCCCGTGAAGATGAACATTACAATGGGTCCTCAGCAACCGATGCTTGTCAGAAGGGGCGGCTAACGGAATCAGATGGTCAGAATCGCTGACTTGGTTGAAACATGTCATCGTATCCCAGTTAAGTTGATCGATGCTGTTGCTGTTGATCACTGCTGTTGGCCGGTCCAGACTCAAATATTTACTGCCACCACATAGCTGGAATACTGCCGAATGCAGCGTAAAACAACAAACAAGAAACATTGTTTACCCCATGATGTGTTGGACTCTCAAAGTTAGTTATGTACACTACTTCGAACAGAACGCAAATAACCAAACAAAGGAATTCATTTCATGAAAACATGATATGGGTGACAACACAGATGCTTTTTCACTTTGATATATATATATATATAGCTTGTCTCAGTTGGGTAAGTCTGCTAGCGTCAGTGTTTTGTGACATTATGGTCAACGAGCTGGTTCCAATTAGATATGCCTAGCTTTAACGATGGTGTTTTGACACATGTCTGGGGAACAAGGGGCGATCAAACAAGATGGATATGGCTATCAATCTGTTGTATAATAAGGAGAGAAGATACGCTGTTATGATGTAAGTACCATAAGTCATAGTTTTCATTACCTACCAAGTTCAGACATTGAAGGTTGATACATACGACATCGGTGCATATTTCAAGGTTTATAACAGAGAGCAAATAACAAATGTATGTTTTGAAAGAGAGAAATTTGCAAGTGCAAATGCTATTTTCTTCCGTACTGGAGTGAGTGAGCTAGGTTTAATGCCGCCGTTAACAGTATTCTAGTTAACCCATCTTAAAATGGGTGAAAAACCTAAAGCGATGCATGACATTGTTATTTCACCGATACTGCTTTTGTGAAAACCCCTCGTATCGATATCGATACAAACCTAGAAATATATTGGGATGAACTGGGATTCGAACCCACAATCGTGCGTGTCGAAGGGTGTGTACATTACAAACTGAGCATGTTTTGCGCTATCAAATATATCATTTTAATATAGTTAATAGAAAAATTTTGAACACATTTCGATGGGTTAAAGAAACTAATGACTGTACTTTTTAGAAGTCAACGGCTCAATGGTAATACCTGACACAAGCTCTCCCCAAACCAACCCCCCTCCCCAACTCGAAATAATTGCTTTTTATTCCACCATTATAATACAAATGAAAATGTTTGTCATTACGCTTCCAGAGGATGTTATAAAATGATATATTTTCCTTTTCAGTGGTGTTTTCATTTAACTGTGAACATGGGCACCCATGCTTACTTTTGAGAAAACCTGAATCGCGTCATTCTAACAGCCAGTATTCAATTTCATTCCCACAGGGAAGCACGTGACTGTACCTATGAATCTTTGAAGATTGTTGTTTGATCCATGATGCAGACATTTCCTTCCATGAATATATGTCTATTACACATCCAGTGTATTGCTGGCTGCGGGATATTCAACAATTCTCCCAGAGTGATGGATCGTGACTTACTGCTGAGAGTCGACACGGAGGTTCATGCTTGCAAGCACTTGCCTATTCAGCGGGTGACGTTCGTAATCCATTAAGGTCAAATCACTGCCTTTCAATAGTGTTGCTGGACGAAAGATTTCGTGAATTTCCTTCACTGTGTTCCTAGTTCCATTCCGAAATACCCATTTGAGATTAAGATGGAAGGAAAATCAATTTATATTTTACGTCCGATTGCTAGAAGCATTTATCTCAGACGATGTTTGAATTTATCTGCGTCACTCCATGAAAGGTTTCCAATATTGTATATTTCTGTAATGCTGCACATGGATTGATAAAGTCTCGTCAGATCTCTAAAGATTCACATTGTAAGTAACATCACGTTTGTTACCTATTTTATTTTTTTCAGATAAATTTCTGAATGAAGTAGTGGTCTTTCACGACATTTCAATGCATAGATTGTGTGAATGCATGTGGCGTACATTAAAACCATGTACTTAGCAGAAGAGGGTTTATTTCTGACATAGTTTACCCTCTTAATTACTTTCAAATCAAATTACTTTAGCAACAGTATTTTGAACACGACAATACTACCAAGTTGGCGTGACATAATCATCCAGGCCACACCTTCCACACGGAGACCTTCCTGGGTGCGTTGTCACGGGGGCATATACGTCAACGTCGCAACACGTTTGGCTTGCTGTATAATAGTTGTAAATTCTAGTAAATATGTCAATGCATTTGTCCAAATGAAAAATGTCGAGAATCCTTCTACGACTTAAAACGGGATTGATAGTTTTGCAAGCGTAATGTGCATTTAGTTCAAGTCTGTCTGTTTAGACATTCTGCAATAACAGTTGATAATCACATCCACGATAATATTCAAATGAAAAGTGTTCAAGACTTCAAATTGGATTGATAGTTTTGCAACCGTAATAAGCATTCATTTAAAGTCTATGTACGACTTATGACTCAAATTTTCTGATAATAGTTTATAATAATCGTATTCACGATAATATTTATGTTTTGTTGTTGTTTAACGTTATCAGGAATATTCCAGCTGTATGGCTGCGCTCTGGGACAGTATACAGCCCAAAGTAAGGTCTAAAGCATTTTGTATACACATGACACTGCATAATCACAGATTGTTTGGGTGATTACAAGTAGATACCAGTGACTACAGATCTTAGTAGCTATTTCTCAAAGAAAACTCTCGAATTGGAATGACATATATTTTCTGATTCTACACAACACTGCAACATGCTTCCCAATGTAAGTTCTAAAAGCATTTTATACACATGGTACTACATAATCGCAGATTGCTGCATTGATCACACAAGATACCAGTGGCAACAGATCTGGGTAGGCATATTCTAACCCTTGCGTTGGAGTGGCATATTTTTCCGGGCTGTACACAGCACTGTGCCTCGCACTTACCCTCAGGATATTTCACAACCTTTGTTTCTATATTGTTCTCCATTTGACGTGATGTTGATGCATTCTCCGAATACTGAAGGAAAGACCCTTCAATGGCCTGGTAATTCAGATAGAAAAGAGAGTTTACGGACATTCTATCGCTGTTACAAATAAGGCACCAAAGTTCTAAAAACACCTTTGCCTCATTTTTGATAGACTCCATTTGACGTGTGACAATCGGATCGGTAAATCTCTTCAATTCTCCATCAAATACCTGAGGATAATCTTTCAGAACGTCATTTTGGCATAAGTCGAACATGTAATTACAAACACTCATGTTAAGACTAAACACGGGGCTGAGCATAATCGTTCAGAGCCTCGAGGGTGAATCTTGTCATCCAGTAGTTGAGTCCTCAGTAGCCAGTTCCCTTAATTGGCATCAGGATGTTTCTCTCATTATTGGCACTGTAACTACGTCGGATTGCCACTTGAAAGCTGTTATTTCCAACATATTTGTACTGACAGCTTCGCTGAGTGACAGGCCGAAGCCTTCTGTTTGATCCATTCTGAAACTGAGAAAAATGAGTAGCAGAGTGTTTCGTTGATTTTTGTTGTTGTATAAGAGCGTCAGGAACGCCCGAAGTTATGATAAAGAACACATATAACGGTAAAAGGTGCTTTCAGGTTAAGGACAAAGTTAATAAACTAGTTGAGTATAGGAATTCAGTTTACCCTGCGCATCAGGATGATACTGGCGACTTGGATAAGATTATTCAAGATACGCATCCTTTTCCGCGCATTTCAAGTTAACCAGAACCTATGCCAGAGGTACTTCTTTATTAAGATTGCATTGTTCTGACTTTGCTAATGTCAGCATCATTTTACTGATATTCCAGTAGTTATATTGTCAGAGAGGAAATCTGTCACATTACCCATTTTGAAGTAAATCTGGTGTGGTACCTTGGGTAATCAGTTGAAATGAACAAAACAACGAGCAAACTCAAAGAATATATTCTTCAATAAACTTTCTTCTTGCATAAATACAGCCCATACACATATGCCCACCTCCACCTTATGGTTTCGCAACACTGTTTTTCCCGTATCCTCCATATGTTTTTTTGTAGGTAAGCGAAACATCTAACGTATTTTATAATGTTGCCTACACAGTCGGTATCAATGACAGGAGAGCTCGGCTCAATGCATGCATATGATTTATTTCTCCATTACACTATTGGGGCGCGGTGGGCGAACTGGCTAAAGCGCCAGGCTAGTGATCCAGCGAGCTTGAGGTGACGGGATCGAGCCCACCTGTGACCGGGTGTAAAAACCTCCGAGTCAACTTTGTGTGCAGACTCTTCCAGTGTTGTCACAGCCCCTAGTGTACAGTACACAAACCTGTGCACTTAAAAGAACCCACGAATCCGTTGGTATATGACCAGATGGTGGCCACATGAATACGTGCAAACACCTAGTTGCGGGTACAGCAACGTGCAGTAAACATGGACAAAGTACTGTGACTATGTGTCCCAGTCCACCCAGCTGTAAATGGGATTGGAATGCCACGATAACTCGGTGCGCCTAGTGGAAGCAAGAGTTGTATGATCCCCAGGGAGTTGAGATTGACAATACGATGTGCCGTTGAGATTGACATCCAGTGAACGAGGGAAAAACAAAGCGCCTTTGAGCAGCTGAGCTGAGCTGGATATCGGCGCTATACAAATGTTAGTATGTATGTATACGAGGCAGGTAAACCGTATCGACTACAGACAACCGTTATCGCTGCATTGATGCCTGTTGTTAAAGGGTGACTGTGGGTGTTAAGCTGCATATTCTGCATGTTGGGCAGTCATCGCTCACATCACTGATACCCGCAACATGTGGCTGTGATAGGTTACGATGTCAGAAGTGTTATATGGAGAGACCGACAGAAGTCGTCTCACTTCATTGACGTAAACAGATTTCTATGTTGCAGTGACAATAGATATACAGATATTTTAAATTACTTGTATTGCATTGTATAGCAAAATAATAAGATATTTATATTGAATCTGACAATATTTTGCTAATTTGTTGGAAACAGTCTTTTTCAGCATAGTTTTGTCTTCTACCTTGACAAAGGCGTTCTTGAATGTTGTATGAATGCACGCATCACACAGCATTCATATACTATATAACGTCAACGTTAGAGGATGAACGGTCGCAGTACCAAAACAGATTCGGCTGAAGATATATGGCTAAATACATGTGTGATGAACATGACATGAATGGCTCTCTGATGCCAGTGACGACATCAGGTAAAAAGTGTAAGCATGTCATGCTCTCGCGGAAATATAAACAATGAACATAGGCTAGTGCAGCTCCCATATGATTCCACCCTGACACTATGTGAGGTGAGGTGAAACTGGGTTTAACGTCGTGCTTGAGAATATTTCGCTCATATGACGACGTGCATGCGTGTGTATGTGTATGTGCGGCTGCTTGTACTAGCCCAGACTTAAGCTGGTTTAATAGTGCTAGCCCACTGAGATACCACGCCGCAGTGAAGCATGAATACCCCACTCAGACACATTATACTGACTCCGAGCCGACCAGTCCTTGTTGTACCCATTAATGCCGAGCGCCAGGCAGGGACCCACAAGTACCATATTTTAACGTCTTTTGGTATGACGCGGTCGGGGATCGAACCCGCGACCTTTCGCTCTCCGGGCGGACGCTCTAACCACTACACCACGGAGGCGGTCCTGACACTATTCACTGGACCAAAGAAATTGTCGATACGTCTGGCATATGGTCACAATATAGGATAACTTAACTGCCGCAATTACATTAAAAATGTTTGTAGGTACCACAAATTAGTCATAATACCCTTGATAGAAACATGCCAGTGTCGCGTGCCATAACGTATAGAGCTCGTCTGTGTACAATACGTACCATATCATACTCAAGGTTCTCGTTAAAGAACTATGTACGTACAAGTAACAATTCACATAGCAGTGACATACACGAAGGCAGATAACCACGAAGCATAACCCATCCAACAAATGTCCACCCTACAGGAATGTGGAGTGAATGACGATGACCATGCGTTTGTAGATAAGTCTATATTATAGGCTATTACTCTACAGACTTGTGAGACAATCGTTGTAGAAGGAGTTCTTCAACATCTGGCATGCAGGAGAGTATAGTCACAACATCAATAGCAGTAATTATCAGCTCTAAAATACAATCGCGTGGAATTCGCCGTTAAGAAGCAGAACTAATGTGAAAACGTCGTGAATAGTGCCTGTAACTCATCCAAATAGCTCCAGGAACTGTTTTACGACATTAATGACATGGCCAATACATACTGTTACCTACCGACTACAAAAAATAGAAAACTTGTTAATGTTCCTGCCGAATGTCCAGTTGTATTTGTCTCTAGGTTTGTAGTTGCAGTGTGCGGGAAATACTGACATTAAACGAAAAACGTGTCTAAGTTAAATTACGTGTGATATGTTGTGAACATTATGAATTGTCTTTTTCTCGTGGATACTTAGTGGAGAAGTCCATTTTATATTGTCTGAGACCTAAAGAGTGAGTGAGTTATGTTTTACGCCGCTTGTAGCAATATTCCAGCAATATCACGGCGGGGGACACCAGAAATGGGCTTCACACATTGTACCCATGTGGGGAAAGACCAATAAGAGAACGGTTTATGTTTGATGCTGAGGGAGATGAAGGGGTAGACACTGGGTTTGAGTGGAGGCCTGAAACATGGCACTGATTTAATGTGTAACTAGTGATGAGAGGCCTATCCTGCATTTTGAGCCGTATCACAGAGGCGGCGTCATAAACGTGCTTCATATATTCTACATATCACAGAGGCGGCGTCATAAACGTGCTTCATATATTCTACATATCACAGAGGCGGCGTCATAAACGTGCTTCATATATTCTACATATCACAGAGGCGGCGTCATAAACGTGCTTCATATATTCTACATATCACAGAGGCGGCGTCATAAACGTTCATATATTCTACATATCACAGAGGCGGCGTCATAAATGTGCTTCATATATTCTACATATCACAGAGGCGGCGTCATAAACGTGCTTCATATATTCTACATATCACAGAGGCGGCGTCATAAATGTGCTTCATATATTCTACCTATGAAAGAAATCGTACCAAAATCTTAGAGCAAACAGTTTTGCCACCAGTCCCCTTCGCCACAGTGACGTTGAGCTCACGTCGTTCAGAATCATCCTTGAATGAATGGAGTGATGCGTCCTCACTGCATGTGCATTTTATCCCTCTCTAAGAGGTAGATACTTTAGATACCAGTGTGCCTATGGAAGTAGTTGTAGGTGTTGATCACGTTAGGATTTACTCTTTCAGATAATCACGTAGGAGTTGTTACTGCAGCTGGTCTTTAGCAACCCATGCTTGCCGTAAGAGGCGACTAACTTGATGGGATGGTCAGGCTTGCTGACTTGGTTGACACATGTCATCGTATCCCAAATGTATATATCAATGGT